CCCCAAAACCCCAAAACCCCAAAACCCCAAAACCCCAAAACCCCTTGATACTTAAGTAATCTAGCATTTCTGCATAACTAATAAGTAAATTAATCTTCATTTTTACAAAATTGATGTAATGTATTACATTCCAACTCGAATAGACTATAAAGATCTGAATTTCTTGATTATGAGTGCTCCAGTTGACTCGATCATGAAACAGACTATCAAGGTATACTTTTACCTAATTAACTCTAAATTTTTGCAGGATTTAAAAAGAAATAATTGCGACATTTTAGTAAGAACTTGTGAGAAAACCTATAATGAAGAATAAATTGTTTCAAATGGAATCAATATCATTGAATTGGCTTTTCCGGATGGCAATAGTCCTCCAAGGAAGGTCATTTAACAGTGGCTAAAGATAGTTAGTGCCCATAGACTAAGCAAAATTTAATCCTAATCACTTTTGACTACTGAAGATGATTCTGATTAAATGCAATCTGACGGAAATGTAATAAAATCTGAGTAGTCTTCTTCTAGCCTAAAGACAAAAAAAATTAAATAAAAGCCCTCTAAGAGAATAGGCATTCATTGCTTAGCAGGATTAGGAAGGTAAGTGATTAGGGATTAATGATGACAATAAATAGGGCTCCAGTTTTGGTTGCAATCGCTTTGATTGAATTTGGAATGAATCCTGAGCAAGCGATAAATTTGATAAGAAGTTAGAGAGTAGGAGCAATTAATCACTCATAGGCTCAGTTTATTCTGAAATACAAAAAGAGAAAATCGTTTTCCAAATGCTCAATATTTTGACAATTAATTTAGCCTTAATATCTCTGATTATGAATTATGTTAAAACTTTAAACTTATTCTTTATTAATTAAGTATTATCTTAGGCAATATAAATTAGATAACCATTTTACCACCGATGGCTTTTAAAATGATCTTAATATAGTCTAATATTTTATATCAATATCTTCACAAATATTTTCACTCTGCCTATTTATCAATGCAACTTCATTTCTGGGTAACTTTAGAGCACATACTTGAAAAACTTTCCTCTTCTACTTATTTTCCAGATTGCAAGCTATTACTTTCTTGCTATTATTGCTGCTGATTCTATTGAAGCTACTAGTTTATCTACATTTGCTGCTACTGCTAGTTACCCATGTATGGAATACCTGGGATTCCAATAACGACGCCTCCTCCATCTCTTTAGTTTCCTAACGCTTGCAGATGCTAATTTATCTGCTATAATTATATCTACTCCTGCAATTCAGCTTATTTGGCATGAGCATTAAGATTAGTACCATTGCCAAGGAAATACTAGCTTAAGCTTGCATTTAGCTAGAAATCCTTCAATCCATTTTGAGCTTCAATACTTTTCCCAAAGTTAAGAGGAATATTGTAGCTATTGTTCAAACTATCCATGAAATTAAAGGCATCTGAAGACTGCTTCATTTTCGTAGGGGGATTTCTCTCATTGTTAAACAAATTTGCTGGAATAAAAGGTAAGAGATTGTTATTGCTGTTTTATTTTGAGGTAGGTCCTGATCTAGTAGCAAAATTGCTGAAAGGAAAATTCAAATAGTTGTTGCTACCATGAGTATGAGGAGTTGCATGCATTGTAGGCGACTAGAAATTCTTGGTTGTATTAACAATATCTTGTAGGCCTGGAATGTTAGAGAAACTGTTAAGACTGAGTAGCGATTATACTTATCTTTGCTTACCTTCATTTTAATAGTTTGACGAAGTTTGCTATTGTTGTGACACTAATTGCTGCTACTATTGTTGTTATTGCAAATTTTACTGTAAAATTTATTGATTTTGACCTGCTGTCTGTTGTTGCTACTATTGGAGGAGATTATACTGCTATTAAAAGCTTTATGTTTATTATTGTTAGGATCCCTTATTCTAGTTTTTAAATTAATTTTTGTCCAAGTATTAGAACTGTTGTTGCTACAGTTATGATTGTGATTATTAGTTTTAATAATTTTGCTAAATTTACTATTGTTAATATTGCTATTACTAAATATATTACTATTGTTATTATTGATGTATGTTCCCTGCCCCTAGCAATCCTTATTTTTTAGATTCAGGAGAATGAAATCCAGTGAATGGCTCGAAATTGTTTCCTAGTGGGCTCATTGGGTTAAATGAGAATGAAGTGTTTTTGCTTGTGGGAGAGGCTGGTTTTGTGTTGCCAACAGTATTACTAAAATTCATTGCTTAATTTAAACTTGGGTTTTAAAGGCTAGCAAATAAGTTTTGAAATGAAGTTTTGCTTGTTGGATTTCTGGGAATTTTCAAATTTTAGCTTTGGGCGTTTTAATTGGTGTTAGAATACCCACCAAGACTAGTAGGGAAATTAAAGGATGGATTATTATTAGCATTGTTGTTTGCACCTAGGGCGAACGGTGTAAAACTACTAAAGGGGGAGGTTGAGCCCATTCCATTATTTTATAACTTTGGTGTTATCAACTATTGATTTAGTGCTGAATATGTTTGAAATACCTAGGGGCTAGATTGCTCTCCTTGCAAACTCATAGGCAAAAAGGCACTATCAATTGGAATTGTGATATTATCTTCTTATTATTATTGCTATATTGTTGGCTGTTGGGTTGATTGTAGCTAAGTATTTTGAATTTTAATCTGTTGCTGTTGTTACGTCTGTTGTTATTGCTAATATTAAACTATTTCATCAATCGTTGACTTATCTACTTATTCTGTTTTCACTATTTGGAGTTCTGTATTGCTCTTTTTTCTTTTTACTACTTAAGTCGTATGCACCTATACCAAATTATCTTCCGATTAATGCTTCAAAGCCATTCTTTTTCTTTTCCCAAGTGTTGTCGCTTGTTGAGGAGCATGAATTTTTGGCTGTTAATGATGAGTTGTTTAATGATGATTTTGTTATTCTCTCTCTGGCTTCTTATCAACTTATTCCTAATACTTCTTATTTCCTAAAAGCTTTTTCTTTTTATTTTGCTAAAACCATATTACTTTGAGTTTATTCTTACATGAGTCTTTTGATGAGTCTTTAGATTTCCACTTTCAGAAAACTTCTTACCACATTCTTGGCATTCATATGGTCTTTCTCCTGTATGTCTTCGTAAATGTATTTTTAATGTGCTAGATCTCATAAATGATTAGATGCAATAAGTGCATTTAAATGGTCTCTCTCCTGAATGTCTTCTCATATGATCAGTAAGATGACCTTAGGTGGTAAAAGTCTTTTTACAATCATCAACTGAACAAGTGAAAGGTTTCTCTCCAGAGTGAATCCTCATATGAGTTTTAAGATTTCCCTTTTCAGTAAAAGTCTTTCCACAACCTGGAATATTACATCTAAAAGGCTTCTCTCCTGTCTATTATTTATGTAAATTTTTCTAAGTACTACATACATGTGTCCGAATGTGAATCTTTAGTCTCCCAGATCGAGAGTAACTCTTCTGGCATACAGTACAGATGAATGGTTTGTCACCAGAATGGATCAGTTCGTGAGTTTTCAAATGCCCTTTTGTGATAAATTGCTTATTACAGCCAGGAGTACCACAAATAAAAGGCCTCTCACCAGTCTAATAATTGTATATACTAACTTATTTTATTACATGAGTTCTTAAATGAGTTTTCAGATTCCCAGTCTCGGTAAAATCTTTCAAGCAATTCACGAAGGGGCAAATGAGAACCCTTTTATCTCCACGTGTTTTTTTTGCCTTTTGCTAGCCTAAATATGAAGATTAATGAAAGACCTGGTGGATAAATCATACAATCATTGATATTGATTCCCTGAGTTTCAAAAAGTTTAATCATTGATTTTTTAGGAGTCATCTTAACGCTTCTGTCGCCATCTTCTTCGAAGTTAAATTGATGCCTCAGCTCCTAATAACATTAGTTTAATCAAATAATATATTAATTTTTATTATTTAGCGGCAATGCTTACTTGCTGTTCAATAACATTTTCTTGTTAAGTCTTCTCCCTCAAATAGCATATTAAATAAAAGTGGTCCTCTTTGAGGTCCTGAATTCTTGTAACAACATCTTTGGGGATTATTATCTAGCCTTCCTCTTCTTCAGAAGTTTCGTCATTAAACGAATAGTCGACTTTCTGTTTACTCTTTTTTAAGGCAGACTTCTTTTCTTCTTCCTATTTAAAGGCATCATTGGATTTTTTCATCGGCTTCAATCCTAGAACATATTCAGGTTCGACGGATAGCATATAAGCAAGCTATAGAAAGTTAAAATAAGTTTTTACTCTTTGCAGCAGTTGGCTAAGAGTTTCTTTAAGATACACTTTAGCTCTGATCCTATGATTCACGTAAACAACTCCTATCCACATTATATTTTCTTCATGTTCCAATTTCAAATTTAGCTAAATTTCCTCTGAATCCATAACTTAAAAAAGCGTCAACACTATATGAAATTGGGGTCATGTTAAGGTTTTGAGAAACAATGCATGAATAGAAATCAAAATAAAGTGCGAACCTTGAGAATCTAGTATATTTAATACAAATAAATATTATCTCCATTAATTTTAGCAGTCTTAAGATCCCTCTCAATTAATACTCTGCACACATAAGCTCTTAATATACTTTAATTTACAGATAAATCATAATCTAATCATATTTCTTTTCCTTCAAATCCTACATCTATCTTACTCAGTGGGGTTTTGGGGTTTTGGGGTTTTGGGGTTT